TCTTTTCTTGTTTGGTAAGATGTTTAAAACATATTGAATCAATTTGCATGTCTTCTACTTCTAAATGTTTAGATTGAAAAGTCATTGATATCGTCAATGAATTGTAATAACGTTGAGGTTTTCTTATGCAATTCTCAATTTGAAACTCAAAAAGCTAATTATTTTATTTTACAGCAAAGTCAATTGCTTGACTCAATGTTTGAGGATCAAATAAATTGAGCATCAATTTCTTTACTTCGTATTGTAATCCGTAGAGAAATTGGCTGATGAGTATTACATCATCCCACTTCATATCTGTTGATAATTGTCAAAATTGTAAAATGTATAATATCATTGATTGATTGCCTTGTCTCAAGATATAAATCTTGTTGGTTACAATATGGATTGCATCATGTTTTTCATACATAGATCAAAATTCTACTAAAAATACTTCTAAATTATTCAATATTGAATCATATCATTCAAGAAATGATGAAAACTATAATAAAGCAGAACTTGAAAGTAGTGTTTCAATAAACCTAACTTGTGATCTTTGACTTGGATAACTTTGAGGTTATATTTCAATCACCAATTGTACCTGATTGATGAATCTTCAAAATAAAGATCTTATAGTATTAAACTTCTCAAGCAATCCAATTTTTGGTTCCTTGAAACTTAAACGATGTTCCATTGTAGGAGTAGTAGTATGGCTTAGTGTAGATATTGAAGTAATTCCAATTATCTCTATATCTTCATTGCTTGATAATCTTGTTGCTCCTTGTGGTAGTAGACTGAGTTGATGCATTGCAAGCATTAACTCTTTCATTTGCTCTTGCATTTGAGCTATTGCTCTCTTCATTTTAGGAAGCTCTATTATGCTAGGTCAATAAAAGAAAGGTGTTTATTCTCATAGATTACAATACTCAAGAATGAAAAAAAAAAAAGAAAAAAAATCTAAGAACAATATTAGTTCAGAAGAGGGTAATCTTCAACTTCTAATATGCTTATGTCTTATCAAGAAAAAAGGATAATATACTCTTAATCAAAAAAGAAAAAAGCTTTGATATTGTATG